TATGTATATTTATGTTGACTGACCCAGACACTCTCATGTCTCAACAACTTACTTATATCTGTCATCTCTGTTAGAACCTTTCCTTAGGAACACATACCATCCCCTTCCTTTCCTACTCATCAATTTCATGGACACACCCCTGTTCAGGACTGGCAGATAGATTTTATACACTTACCCCAGCACAAGACTCTTAATATCTTCTTACCTTTTGTCTGTACATTTTCAGGATGGATAGAAGCCTTTGCCACAACCAAGGAGACCACTCATGTAGTTACTAAAGTCCTGTTACAAGAAATCATTCCAAGATTTGGTCTACCATAGAGTGTCCAGTCAGATAATGGTCCAGCCTTTATTTCTCAGATTTCCCAACAGGACTACAACCAAAGTGGAGTGGCCCCTACCAGGTTTTCCTCAGAACTCCAATAGCAGTCAAGGCCACTGGACTGCTCTCCTGGTTCCATGTCACTCAAGCTAAGTGGTGCCCCCCTAACCCTGAATCTAAACATCCTGAGTGATCATCTCATCTTCTATTTCCTATGTGTCTCCATCTCACCAAGGCCTCACAGCCACAACTTTCAGGCTAGGTCATGCTTTGCTATCCTATTTGGTTCTTAATCCCTTACGTTCTAAACATAAGACCCTCTGGGTCTAGGATCTCATCTCTCTTATAATGACACAGCCACAGCCCTCCCCATCCCTACTCTATAATTTCCCAAATGTGATTCAGCTGTCAGGCCTTATATTTTTCATGCTTCCCATTCTCTCCAGCTCAACCCCTGGACCAAAACAAGCCCTACCTACACTTTTTACTGTTACCCTTTCAGATGGGGGAATAATTATCTCTCATAACTCTACCCCTCTCAACTCCACGCTTACTTTTCAGATTCTTCCTCACCATGGCTCTGATGGCATGACACATTTTTGGATCAAGGGCACCTTTCCTTCCACTTCTCCTGGGTCTTTAAATATGATAGTTGTCTGTCTCTTCACAGCACTTTGTGTATTTTTATTTCTCCAATCTAGGATGTGAGCATTCACCAATGATTAACTCCTTGTCCTGGCTGAAACACCTTGTATCAGCTTCTACATGGGCATCAACAGTCATCCTGTTAACCCTCCTAAACCCCAACACAATGCCCCTGTCCAGAAGGAAGTATTAAGAGACAGTCTTCACCCTTTTTCTAACAATACAAAGACAGGAATGAAAGGTTTTCCCCAGTATAAATTATTGTACAATTATGGCGGTGGTCTAACATGGCAGAAGACCAAAGTGGAAATGCTTACCACTTCTTCCTTCTTCTTTAGCCCCAGTTGCAACTCCCCTTCCTGTTTGCATGCAAAGAAAATTCCAATCAGCTCCTCACACATCATCAATCTCTGCCCCATGCACCACTTCCAATTAGAGGTTATATAACCCTTTGCCTCTTTGTATCTGGTTGAAGGAGATAGCTCAACCACCACGGGTTGTATGCTCCTTTCCACATCCTCAATAAACCTGTACTACTGCACCAGAAAACTGTAACAATGGTCAGTGGAAGAAATATTACCAAGAATAATATGCATTTTTTATGCTATGAATCACAAAAGACTTCCTAGTTCAATAACACTTCTACCGTTGTGACATCACCTATGCACAGGGATAATGAGATACCTCAGGTATAGACTGTGAGACTTTGCACTGGTAGCTGTGTGAACATAAGATGCATGTATTATTAGTGTTGAAGTAGATAATTTGAAAAACATTAAATGAAGTGTGTTGAGCTTTCCCACTTATGGGTACACAATATTATGCCAATTGATAATTGGCATAGTTCATGGAGACTATGCCATGGAGACTATGATATAGTTCATGGAGATCCATGAACTATGTCTTCAACAGCAACAGAAACACCAAAACAACATCCAGAATTTGGATGCAGATTTATTTACATCTATCGGCACTGATCAGGATCATTCTCAAAATATCAGATCCTGATCTCCTGTGGTCTAGGGCTTTTATGGGCTAAGCAAGCAGGAAGTACAGAGGCAGAATAGCTTGTCAGTTGGGGATTGACTCCTACAATATGCATCACAGTGATGTACCATTTTTAAGAAACAAAAGTAACAGGAACTGCAACCAGAACTATTACTAAGCAACTAACAAACTGAAGTGCACTGGCTGGGGGGCATCTTCGGCTAAGTGTCAACATCCACACCTTAGACATTAACATCCAAGATTCAACAACATACAAATAAGTGAGAGCACATGAAAGACAGAAAAACTCACTATTTCATATCACAAAGAGGCCAATGTCCTGTTCTCTGCACTGAAGGCCGCCCAATGGTCATAACTAACTATGAGCATGCCAGGGTTTGACGGCACTAAATTGAATCTGGAATTGCAACCTGTGAAACAGACACTGTGTTCTCATCCGTGGAACTCATTTCACAGAGGAAACAGTCATTGGGGAAGAAAGTCCTACACTTCCTTTCTCTCCTCCTCTGAGTTCCTGTCTGCACAAAAATAATCTAACTTGACAGCTTTCAGCTGTTTTAAATATGCTGACTCTTAGAGAACAAATAGAAAAATTATGATACTTTGTGCACAACTGCCCAAATTTAGAAACAATCAAGATGCCCTTCGCTGGGTAAAAGGATAAGCAAACTATGGTACGTCTAGAAAATTAAATAGTAATTGATGAAAAAAAAAAGATATATTATTAAGCCACAAAAAGTCACAGAAAATCCTGAAAGCACATTGCTAAGGGAAGAAGACAGTCTGGGAAGGCTCTATAATTCCAACTATGAGACATACTGGAAAAGGTACAACTATGAAAAGAGTAGAAAGATCTGTGGTGACCAGTGGCTTATGGGCATAGAAGGAGGGATGTAAAGATAGAGTACTAGGAATTTTTACATCAGCAAAACTAATTGTTTGATTATATAACAGTGGATACATGCAATGTGACATTTGTCACATCACACAGAATGAGCCCTAATGGAAATCATGGGCTTCAGCTTGTAAAATTATAACAATTTTTTTTTATTAAAACTGCCTCCCACAATAGTCTATTAATTTTTTTAAAATAAGGTAAGAAAACTGTCGGTGTCGCTCCCGGCCGGCAGGAAGGACACACGACAAAGTCTGGCAGTGGACAACCTTTTCTTTTATTTTCTCTCCGTACAGCCTGCCCTGGGATCGCTCCCAGCCGAAGCCTCCTCTGGTCCGCTCTCCGTGGCTCCTTTCGTGCTTCTCTCTCCGAAGCCTCTACCGGTCCGCTCTCCGCGGCTCCTTTCGTGCTTCTACTTTCCCCCAGGGGTGGCACCAGTATATATACGGATACAGTGTCCAATCATGTTAAAGTAAGCAAGGCAAGCTGATTGGCTAACATCATCAGTTGCTAGGTAGACTATGCTATCGAGCGGGTTGTTTACTCAGCAAAGGCAGGAAGCAAGCGCCATCTTAGCATACTCGATGGGAGGGGTAATCTAGCTCAGGCTTTGCTCTTCCCTACAGGCCTCACGTCCGCCAAGTAAGGCGACCGGGCTCGGCCGCGGCTCCCAACAGAAAACATTAAAACTGGCCAGTCATAGTAGCACATGCCTGTTGTTCCAAGCATTTGAGAGACTGAGCCAGGAGGATTTGAGCCCAGGAGTTTGAAACCAATCTGGACAACACAGAAAGATCTGTGTCAGAGAAAGAGAAAGAGAAGAGAAAAAGGAAGAGAAAGCAAAAAAAAAAAAAAAAAAAAAAGGAGGAGAGGGGAAAGAAGGAAGGAAAGGGAAGGGAGAGAAGGAAGGAAAAAAGTAAGAGAGAGAGAGAGAGAGAGAGTGAATCACATCTAGGAATAGGATCTGTTCAAGTTCCACTGTGTTGTGAAGCTTAGTAGGCACAGCATCTAAGGCCAAAAGACCTCAGGGACTCATGAAAATGTTGTAATTTAAAGTTTGTGTTAAATGCTGAAAAAATATGAAAATGATAATAATGAATATATAATATAATGAATATAGTTTTTATATCAACAAAGTCACAAAATATGTTTAATGTTTTTAATGGAAGAAGGAGTCATTGTTAGTCAACTTTACATTACTATAAAAATATCTTTAGATGATCAATTTAAAGAGAGGAAAAGCTAACCTTTGCTCACAGTTTTGGAGGTTTCAGTCCATGATGATTGGCTTCATGCTTTTGGGCCTCAATATATAATATGTTATAAACACAAAGTTTTTGTTTAAGATAGGCACAAGATCTTGAAAAGTTCATTATAAACACAATTGGCCAAAGCCAAACATCCTAAAGAAATAACAAATTAAGAATATTAGCATAAAAAATGTTTCCCGGAGGTTAACAAATGATTTCTATTTTTTGAGGAGAGATTTTTTTACACTCTTACAGCAATTACATAGGCACGAGTTACAATACACACTTTTATTTTCAATTTATTACGCTAGCAAAAGAAAAAGCAATTGATAATGCCTGTGAACATTACCAGAATCAAAATAAAGTCTTTTGTGTCAGGCACTAACAAAAATAAGAATAAATGAAGGAGAGGATCTATGCAATGTGCCTTGTAACAAGAACCATTCACAAAAGATGCCAGAACTAAGCTTGCACAAAGCCTGTGAGAATCTTACACAAAAGGTGCTTCTACAAAGACATCTGCTCAGCCGCTGTCTATTTAATCTTGGACAGACTTTCCTGTGTTACTGGTTCTTGTAGCCAAAGATGATCGGCTCCAAATAGTCTAAATAATTCTGATTTTGCCCAAGGAAACATTCTTGTCCCCCTCTCCTTGCATAACCACAGAGTTCACCTTGACATGCAGATTCTTAACAGCAATGTTTCTCCCCATATAAACTTCAGCTCAGAGATTCTTGACAGGCATATTTCTTAGCTGGACAAACCTGGAAGTGTCACTAACAAACCAATTTGTGCATTTTGTAGCAAGGAGAGTTTGCATTAGCTTATTATCTCTAATCTTTACTTACAATCATCAGCCTTACAAAAGATTGGAATGAACTTCCTCCTTTAGGGCCTGCTTCAGGTTCTGGCTCCTCCCCTGTAGCCAGAGCCAGCCTCTTAGCCAGAGCCAGCCTCTTTCTCTCCACACAGGACAGCACTGCTTCCTCACGAGTGCATCTGTTCCAGCCATGGCCGTCTTTGTGCAGCTCAGCACCAAAGCCAAAATGCCGCTGGTGGGCCTGGGCACTTGGAAGGTAAATATGCAAATCAAGAGCCCCGTTCCTCTAGAGGGGCTTTTGGGTCTGTTTTTTTCCCCTGCATCTGCGCAAGCCAGGGTTTGAGATGAGATTCAGCTGTAGAACTAAAATCCAAGTAATTTTCCATTCTCAGGGCTGCTCCATAGCCTTTCCTGGCCTTTCTTAGCAGTGATGAGAGCTTTTCCAGCCAGTTTCAAGTTTCAAGCAGGAGTTAGGCTTTTCTTAAAAAAAAATTTACTTTCAGGGAAGTTACTCTTAGCAGTCATTTCCTTTGAAACTACCAAGTGTTGGTTCTGAGCAGATAGAGGAATCTGGCCAGACCAGAACCCATCTGCAGTGTGGTACAATTCAGATTCATCCTGCAACATTGTTATTCGTGCCGGGGTGGCAGCCTTGAAAGTTCCTCTGTACCACTTTGGAGTCTAGTGTAGCTGGCAGAGTGACTGAGAGAAGATGCAGAGCTTTGAAAGAAAGCTCTGGCACCCTGCACTTGCTTCCCTAGCTGTAGGATTTAGACTGGTGGCGCAGGTCTTGATGAGGTGCTTGCTAGAGATGTAGAACCCCAGATCCTGCCCATACTACTGAATCAGCTTCTACCCTTACGTCCCCGCATGGTTCCTGTGTATAATTATTAAAGTCTCGGAAGTGCTGGAGCCAAGAGAGCCTAGGCTGGCTGTCAGGACTCTGTTGAGTCCTGGCTGTATTTATAGCAGCTGGCAAAGGCTCTGGCACACACTCCAGCACCCTGTGGAGCAGATTCATGAGCCTCAGTGGTGAGTTTCCAGGAACCATCTTTGCACCTGGCTTCTCTCCACCCTTGGGTCTCTTCTGTGTGCTGTCTTCCTCCACTCCTACCTTCTCTGCAGGGACTCTCATCTCCTCCCCTGGGAGAGGGTAAGGTCCCTTCTCACGTCAGCACTGGTTTCCTGTAGTGTTGGGATTCATTCTTGTTTCTTGAATGAGCACATCAATGTCTCATGCATTCAGCTTCAGCCTCTCTTCTTAAACAGCAAATTGCCCCAAATAAGAACCTTAAAACCCATACACAAGCAGCAAATAATTACTACTTACAGGTCTAATAAATATGCTCCTCATGGATAAATTTTGCAGAAACTAATGATCAGATTTCAAAAGTAGATGTGTGGCTTGTGACCTAAGCTGTTTTTGCAATATATGATTGACAATTTAAAGGACTATATACATATTTCTGGAGGGGACAGAGGGTGTCCTGGCTCGGAGTGTTTCTGGGCTGCCCATAACAATTTCTCATCCTAGAGTGGGGATAGCTGTGCATCTCCTTCCTTTTCTCCCTGTTCATTTTGTTTTGTTTTTGAGACAGGGTCTCGCTATGTACTTCAGGTTGGCTTGAACTCACTTTGCAGCCCAGGCTGGCCTTAAACTCACAATCATCTTCCTGCCTCAGCCTCTTGAGTGCTGGAATTACAGGCACGTGCCACCACACCCAGCTCTGTTTTATGGTCTTTGAAATATTTACTTTACAATTGATAACATTTTTGTGAGGTTTTTTCCTTTTTGTGTGTATGTGTAAGTTTTTTTGTTCATGTTTTGGTTTTGGTTGTGGTTGGCCTTACTAGGGATTGAACTCAGGGCCTTTATACTGAGCTACTGTACCCCTGGCCCTTTTTTTGTTGTATATTTTGAGGTAGACTTTAACTAAGTTGCCTAGGTTGTGCTCAAATTTGAAGTTCTCCTGCCTCATCCTCCCAGAGTGCATCATTTCTTTTCTTATTAGCTTGGCAAAATTAGCACAGAATGTGTTTATTTTGCTTTTTTTCTTCTTTTTTCCTTGAGGGCATCTGAGTTCCAAAGCAATAATTATATAGTGATTACATTTACTGAACCTCACTGGATGTCAGGTGATTCATTATAGCAAGTATCATAAAGACTTCCAGAGGCCAGGGCTCTTAGTTCTACCCTGCAGGCAAGTTTTGGAGCAATGGAGGAGTCTGCTCAGGCCTGTATGTCTGCTATGTGGTAGAGCTCAAATTCATAGGCAGACCATTCCCCACATCCTTATCACCATCTGGGGTCTGAAGTTACATCTGTTTGCTCCAGAATCTAGTTTTCAGCCTGTCTGTCAGCAGACTGCAGTGGGAGTAGTCTGCCACTCCTGACCAGTCAGGACATGGAAGTTTGGCCTGCGTTAGAGGGAACTGACTTTTATCTAGGAGCGGTTAAGCAGAACTTTATTTCTTTTTTTTCTGTTTTGAGAAGTTTTCCAAAGTGTTTACCTCCCAGGTGTACACTGGCAAATGGGACTCAGTGAGACTCTTTGGAGACGATGGGCAGCTTCTACCTGTGGAGGGGCCTGGGATAAGAGGATCTGACAGCCCACCAGTTTATCTGTTGCCTTTCAGTCTCCCCCAGGCAAAGTCAAAGAAGCTGTGAAGGCCGCCATTGATGCAGGGTATCGCCACATTGACTGCGCCCCTACCTATCAAAATGAGAACGAGGTGGGAGAAGCCATCCAAGAGAAGATCCAAGAGCGGATTGTGAGGCGGGAGGACCTCTTCATTGTTAGCAAGGTACATGCAGCCCGCGTGGGGGAGGCCTTGATTTCAGGGCAGGCCAACATATCTGGACGTGATCAGCGCCTAGACCTCATCAGCCTTCCCTTGTCTATTCCTGTCTCTAGCTCTTGCTTTATCCCATGCCTGCATATAAACTTCCACACCCAAGTTTGGTATGCAGAAGGTGCTGTTGCTCTTATCTTGTCTACAGTTGGCTTACATAGTGAAGATGGCTCCACTGAGCCTCTAGTGCCTTGGCCACCCTGTGCTTTATCAGTGGGCTCCATCTGTACTGTGGCAGTCAGAGACAAAGGGTGCCGTCAGAGGTGGGTCTCTAGCCTGCCTTTCAGCACTGTGATCTCAGTGGCCACAATGCGGAGGTCTCAGCCACAGGTATTTTGGGAAATTATGGAAGCAGTTTGCTTTGTTACATCTGGATTTCTTTCTCAGTCCAGTAAAAGGTTATAAAATGAAATTTAAAAAATGAAAAAGGAGTGCTGGATAAAAGGAGGTTTGATATGTGTGAGATGGTTGAGAATCACTGGCTCTGTATATACACAGATCACTAAAAGATGCTAGTCTTAGCTATAGTAAGTCCTTGACTCATGACTCATGACCATGAGTTGTGAATTTTCACAGGTGTACTATGGGAGACTCACAGGTGTACTGTGGAAGACTCACAGGTGTACTGTGGGAGACTCACAGGTGTACTGTGGGAGACTCACAGGTTACTGCGGGAGACTCACAGGTGTACTGTGGGAGACTCACAGGTGCACTGTGGGAGACTCACAGGTTACTGCGGGAGACTCACAGGTGTACTGTGGGAGACTCACAGGTGCACTGTGGGAGACTCACAGGTTACTGTGGGAGACTCACAGGTGTACTGTGGGAGACTCACAGGTGTACTATACGAGACTCATTTTGTCAGATTACAAACATATCAATTTACAAATGTTCAAGAATAGGATTTACTCATAAGTTAGGGACTTTTGAACTTGGAAAGTGCATCTGGTAGGACAGGTATGCTGTGACCACATCTAAATGAACTTGTAAAGTCATAGTTTGGGACCTGGTAGCATTGGGATACTGAGGTACATAAAAGAGCCATCTGTTCCCAAAGATATGAGAATGCTTGAAATGTAAAAGCTATACACAATTTTTGCCCTCAGAGGGCTGGCAACTGAGGAAAGAAATAATTCAGGTGCACAAATATTTAACCAGTGGCCCCATATACTAAATTACTAAAGAAACAGTAATTTAAGTTGCCTTCAGCATTTACAAACATCAGTGACATGCTGAGCACTGGTTGCCTGTCATACTGCATCATATACCTTGATGAACTTTGTTAACAGACAGCCTATTGTCAGGTTAGATCAGGCTGCAGCTCTCAAAGCATGGAGGGAGAATGCGGTGGGCCCCTCTCTTTTCCATCCCAGCACTTCCTTGTTGCCCTCCGCAGTTGTGGTCCACATTCTTTGAGAGAAGCCTGGTGAAGGAGGCCTGCCGGAAGACCCTGAAGGACCTGAAACTGGACTACCTGGACATCTACCTCATTCACTTTCCACAGGGACTTCAGGTTTGAGATGCTCCCCATCCCGGTCTCAGGCCGCTGAGCCAAAGATGCAATACAATAGCAGCCGCACCAGGGCTGGAACATGGGGTGGGGTAAGCAGGAGCTCCTGTGTAGAGCAGACACTGGTCTGGGAAGGAGCCTATGTCTACACGCCTTCCTGCATGTTCGTCGGAGAGAAACCTAATTAGGGCAGCACAGAGAAGCTAAAACCATCATATCATATTTGTCAGTATTCCATGCCCGACATCTGTGACCAAAGGTCTGTTTCAGGGGAAACAGGTCTTCCTTCATGACTTTGTGTCAGGGCTCAACCCTCCTGTCAACCAAAGCACACCCTGGCAGTGGCCTCTGGGTGAAAATCCAAGTGTGACAGGTGGGTGATAGCCAATCCACTCTGAAAAAGTAGTAAATTCATTGCCTGGAGTTCTGATCCTTATCTCCTCCTGAGTAGTGGGAGGGACATGAATTCACAGCCCTGTCTCCTCGTAACAGCTAATTCAGGCTTCCAGAGCTGCAAGGACACAAGTTGGTTAATATCTTCCCTGAATGCAACCTTTGAGATCTAATCCTTACTAGTGGTTTAGAAATTAAAGTCTGTCCCTGAATTTATATGGATCCTAGGTAAATGACATTAACATCCATTGCAATAATGATGGCTTCTAGAATATCTAATAATGTACTTTAAAATCAATCTAGCAGTGTCTAAAACTAGAGAGATTTAGCTATCAAGGTAGGTGATACAGAGATTTTTCTGAACTTCATTTCCTTGAAGGGTATTCTCCAGGGCCTCCCAAAAAGGTTTGCAAGGGAGGTGTTTAGCACAAGGAGCTGGTGACCAGATGGAGATTTCAATAAGCTATGGTTTTGCATTTACAGGCTGGGAACGAACTCATCCCCAGAGACGATAAAGGCAATATCCTCCCCAGTAAAGTAACATTCCTGGAAGCATGGGAGGTAGGTTTTAGCTTCTTCTAATTATGCTGAGAGAGAAAATTTTCTTTCAGTGACCGTCATTCCTCCAGTTCTCTGTCCTTGGACCTTTGAATCCAGGGTCTTCCTGATGCTATTTACATTTTAAAGACTAAGACTAAGTCCTCAAACAAGACTAGAGATATAGGGGCTTGGGATTTAGCTCTTCAGGCATAAGTGCCTGCGTGGCAAGCATGAGGTCATAAGTTTGATCCCTGGTACCAAAAAATAAAAAACTAAAAAAGGCTAAAAATATAATGTACCCCATTTGGAGGATACACATGCTGTTTTGAAACCATGGGGAAACATTGGGCCTAGGTTCAAAGGTATTAGCTAAGTAACCTGAGGCAAGTTGTTTATTTTCATAAGCCTCAGTTGAGTTCTCTCATCTGAAAATAATTTTATAATGCATATCAGTAACACACATAATTCAGGATGTCGTAAAGATTAGCATAGCCAACATGTCGAGAACTTGAATCATGGGACATTGTTAATCATCTAATCCTATGAGGGAGTGTTACTTTCTCCATTGACAGATCATAAAACAGACCTAGAAAAGCTGGTGACCTGTCAGGTTATAGAGCTGCTGCGTAATGCAGCTGAGACTGGATGCAGGACCTGGGTCTCTCTGGCTCACAGGTACAACTGCTTGGGCCTTTGGTACCTGCCTGGCAAACAGTAACTGTAGAGCTACATGTTGGGGATCTTGAGTGCCCCACTGCTTAGATCAATTAATGGACTAATTCACATAATTCAGGTTCAAATTGTGTTAAGCAATGGAAATTTTTCTGTGATAATTTTCTTTTCCACTGTTTCCTCCAGCAAATGTTAGTAGAAAACAAAGTGAATGAAGAAGTCATCTTAATGAAATGACATAAACACTCCAAGAATTAACTGTGTGGTTGTGTCAGCTATCTGTTAAGGGCACAGGAAGTCCTGAGTTTGTATTGTTTTTGCATTTACAACTGTATTAATCCTACCATTTTAGAGGAGTGTGGATTTGATGTGACTGAATTAAATGTAACTCTCCTGAAGATTGGTCATTTAAAAGTATTTCTCACTAAGAACAGTCTTGCTGCTCTGACCTCAACAACTAGCAGGAGGAAATTCACATAGTAGGAAAGCCATCACCTCATCAATGCAAGGTTGGCAAACATGGAAATTTTGAAAAGGATTCTTCTTGGCAAGGAAATCATTAAACTTTTCCACTAATAGCAGAAAGCCTGTTACAAGTAAGTATGAGAAAAAAAATATCTGGACTTCTATGGATGAATTTTAAAGACTATCTTGAAGCTCTTAGTTGGATGAGAAAGGAAAGAAAGACTCAAAAAATTACTAAAAACAATAAGATGTCATCCATAGTACTGCCATTAAACTTGTTGAATGCGCCATTTGCTGTTAGGATCTAGAGGTCAAAATGAGTGATAATTTAAAAAACAATATTTTATGTAATTAAGAACCATACTAAATAAATTAGTATAGCATAAGACTAAAGATAGAAGTAAGTGAAATACTCTTGGGGAAGTCTTAGGAAGGTATCAGTTTGTCAGGTTGGCACATGCCTGCAACCTAGCTGAGAGGATTCAAACTACAAGTTGGAAAATGTTAGGTTTTTATACCAGATTTATATATTTGCTTTGCTTTAATGAGTGCACAAAACATTACATAATGCTCATCTGATATAGTCACCAAAATAAATATATTTAAGCCTTCCCTTCAAGAACAAGAACATTACTTTCTCTTTGCAAATGGCAAAATACTAGCTATAAGACAAACTAGAGGGCTTCGGATGTAGCTCATGGTAGAGCACTTGCCTAGCATGTATGAGGCCCTGAGTTCAATCCCCAGTACCACAAAAATAAATAAGAAAGAAGGAAAGAAAGAAACTAGAATGTCTGTGAACTCAGCTACTCAGGAGTCCAGGGCAGGAGGATTCTAGGTTCAAGCCTTGCCTGAGAAATTTAGCAAGACCCTGAATAAAAATTTAAAAGGCACAGCATGTAGCTCAGCGGTAAAAAGCTTGTCTAGAAGGCCTAGGCTCTGGGTGCAGTCCTCAGTAGAGCAAAAAAGAAAAAGAACTTCAATTCTGGAAGTAAACTGTAAAAACACATGAACATTTGTTTTTCTGCCGTGAACCATTTTTTTTTTTTGCTAGAGGAAAATTTTAGGATTGATGGTTTCATAAACAATGCAATGGCTGATGCGCAAGAATGTGATTCAGCAGTGAACAATGTAGCAAGACTCCTAACATAGCCTCAGATTTCAGCTATCATTTTCTATTAAATTGAGTACATTAGGTTGAGAGAACAATTTTGTTGTATATATTACCCAAGTAAAACAGAAGTGCTTAAATATCTAAGTAATAATTCATTGTAGGCTCTGAAAACTAGCCTGTGTCCAGTGTTTATTGCACAAGATTTTTACACTGCTCTTGTGATGATTCTCTTTTACATGTGGCAATTATGTCATAGTCCTCTGTAAAATGGACTTGATTTCTGCTGTGGTAGATTCTCTAAACTAATACAAGAATTATTGCTAAATAAAGCACTTTAAGGATATGATTAAGGCCAAGACTATGATTAGAGCCTTGCAGGATTGACTATGTCCACTGAATATTTTGGGGCCCACTACTAATTCAATAGACATCTCACTGCTACTCTAGAGAAGAAAGAGCTGGAAAAAAGTCAGGATGAATCAAGCTTGCAAATCAAACTTGACATAGGAAAACATTTATATTATCTCATCGACCTCTAGGGAGTCCGGGACCTCATGATCCAGCATTTTTAAACTCTTTCACCTAACGTCCTTCCTCATCAACCCTGGTGCTCCTTAACTTTGGCTATGCTTCGACATCACCAGAGGAGTGTGATCCCCGTGCCTATGCTGCATCCCGAATGAAGACACTAAGAGGTCTCAGAGTCGGGCTGGGGCATCAGTCTGTTCTAAAGCCCTCAGGAGGTTCCAAGTTGCAGCCATAGTTGAGAAGCCCTGAATGAGGTACACTGAACACATCCTACCTATCCCCGCCTCCAGGCTTCGGCTCCTGCCTTCTTCCAAACCCATTTGTGTTTTATCTTTATTCCCCATGGTGTTCTCAGGGTCCCATTTACACTCCACTAGTAAAGTCTTTACTGGATCGGGCAAAGTCCTCTTTGCCTTCCCTGGTTTTCATGCTGTACCACAATCAGATTCTCTGAGGTTGCTGATTCCTCCTTAGAGATCTTAGCACTGGAACTAGACTGGAACTGGAGTAAAAGAATCTCAGAAGCTAAAAGCACATTTTATACTTTTATATGCTGACCACTCCTGGACAACAACCTGATACATAATGAATAATAAACACAAGATGGATTTGGGGCTGCTACTACTAAACATAATCTTTCTTTGGGCACACTTAGAACATCCTTTTATAGGCTAAAAAAAAATACCCTTTGTTGGGGATTAGTAGCTCTCACAGTTTTAACTGGACGTGGGGAAAGCAGGTCCCATTTCAGCTCCACACACTCACTCACGGAGGCACAATTTGGCTGCATTACCTGTGCTGCTCCAAGTGAAATGCTAATGACAATGAGCAACTACTAATTGAACTGTAATTTCCTTCTTAGGCTTTAGCTAACCCTCCTGCGAGGGATCCTCCATCAGCACTAGGCCAAACCAGTGTCCCTGTTGTTCCACCCCACCCCCCCACGACTTCCCAGGTTTCCTTTCTGTGACAGGTCATGGAGGAGCTGGTCGATGAAGGGTTGGTGAAAGCCCTTGGTGTCTCCAACTTCAACCACTTCCAGATTGAAAAGCTCTTGAACAAGCCTGGGCTGAAATATAAACCAGTGACCAATCAGGTAAGTGCTGCGTGGCATCGGGGTCCCACCCTATTACTTCTGAAGTGTTTGGAGGCAAGTTCAAAGCTGTGTACTGAGTCTCATCACAGACCTCAGTGTTCAGAATTCTGTGGGGGAAGTGGGAGACAGGTCTGCAGGTCTAATTTAGCAATTCAATCAATGGGCAGGTTTGGTCTGTGCTTGGTTGTGTTTTTTTGCATGTAGAACTCCTCCTGAGCCAACCCCAAAGCAGGCTCCCTCCCCTTTTGATACAGATTGTTCACTCTTGCAGGTGGAGTGTCACCCATACCTCACCCAGGATAAACTGATCCAGTACTGCCACTCCAAGGGCATCACAGTCACTGCCTACAGCCCCCTGGGCTCTCCAGATAGACCTTGGTGAGGCTTCTCTGTGGTGGGCCTTTCTCTTGATACACTTAAAATATTATTTTGCAATTGCTTAATATTTAATTAATAAGACACCAGAAAGCAAAGCACCTCTAAGGCAGTGTACTTGGCATGCTCAGATAAGATTACGGTGGGGGAAATGGCAATTTAATAAAAACACAGTGTACTTCACTCTTTGAGAATGCTCCAGCTGTGACCCTCTTGCTGGACCAGGCTTTGCAAAATACCAAGGCTTCTGTGCCCATGGACATTCATTGGAAGGCCATATAGCTGTCAGATCCTCCCATGTGTGTCACAGGCAAAGATCACTGTGTCCCTTAGCCAAGCTGCTGTCATTGGAGTAAATCTCTCTGTATGAGTGATCTTGGTGATTACTTACACAGTAGCCTTCATTCTTGTCTTCAGGGCCAAGCCAGAGGACCCTTCACTACTGGAGGATCCCAAGATCAAGGAGATTGCTGCAAAGCACAAAAAAACCGCAGCCCAGGTACAGTGTGTGTGTGTATGTGCATGTTAATCCTGCAATACATTCTTTCTTGCAAGTCTTGCAAGAAACAGTGTGTGTCAGTGAAACAGGATAGCTTCTGTCCATCAGCTTCCTGTCATGCTCTCCAGGAAGCCACAAGATAGGAATCTGGGTTCTGGTGCCAACTGCACCATGTCTCAGCCTTGTGAGCCCAAACCATCCTCATTCCTAAAAAAGAAAAGATCATAGATCTGAAACTCAGTTTAGAAGAGATAAGAAGAACCGTCAAGTGACTCTTAACAGGGAAGTGCTCAGTCATAATTAACTGTTGTACTTAACGCCACAATGAGCTACAGGGATAGTTTCTTTTCATTATGAGAGGTCCTTGTAGATGAATGGAAACAATATCCCCTTCCTGTACAGGTTCTGATCCGGTTCCATATACAGAGGAATGTGGCAGTGATCCCCAAGTCTGTGACACCAACACGCATTATTGAAAACTTGCAGGTGAGATCCTGACTGGTCGTCTGGTGTTCCTCAGAGTAGATGACCGGGCTGCTCAGATATTCATGTATTGTCCCTGGATAGGGCTGGTCCTCTTCAAAAGGCCAGGGAACTGCCTTCAGAAGAGCTGATCCTGGGTTGAGGATGTGCTGGTAGCAGTGACCAGGGAATCCCTGTCAGATCTGAGCACAGCAGTCTCAAAAAACTGCACGGTTACCCTTGAGCAGTTAGGTCATAGGCCACACAGGAGGGCAGACCGTACTGTGCTATAAATCCTCCTCCCAGCAGCAGAGGACAAAGGAGCTGTACAGGAAGAACAGTTCTTATCAAAGAATTCACACAGCACTCAGGAACACAGGCACTTTGCACTCTGGAATTTAATACCTACATGGCTGATCTCCCTCCTGTTGGAACACCAAGCCTCATGAATATTATGCCTCTATTACTGACTTGCAAGTTACCCGTCTCAGCTCATCCATTAGCCTAGGAGTTGACCAGGATATAAAAGTGTGTGACCCATTAACAATGCCCAAAGCAGATACCATCTTGTGTAGAATGTGCTTGACAGAACAATTTGTATCCAGTGGACACAATGGGAAAATAGCCTGCCAGTGTGTGTTGTGGTTCAGAGGTCACTCCCTGCCCAAATTGCACAACCAGGGAATGTGTTGCCAAAGGTTTTTTGAACTCATCTTTCCAGGTCTTTAACTTCAAATTGAGTGATGAGGAGATGGCGGAGATACTCAGCTTCAACAGAAATTGGAGGTGCTGTATTATCCCTGGGTACGTGGCTCAGGACGAAGCAGGACGAAGCAGGAGGATCACAGGGGTCTTTCCATAGTACTGCAGGGTTAGTTAGGACCGGAAGGCATCTAGCTTTTTTCTCTAAATATTGGTTTCTGACTGAAAATGTTGGAAAATGATCATTGGAGTCCTCAGGGAATTGTTATATGGAAAGATACTTCCTTAAAACGCTGTCTGTTGAACTTCTCGGTGTAGAGCTGGAACATTATGTGGAAGTTAGAAGTACTCACTCATTCCCTCAATAATTTGTTATTAATCTGCCATGTGCTGGGCACTCTGTAGGAGCTTGGGCTATCACATTGTACAAAGTCCCTTCTACCATACACTTAGCACAAAAACCTCAAAATATTGTGAAGCAGGAACAAATACTGGGCAGAAAAATAAAATGGGAAAATGATAGAAAGTATGGGACTTAGTGAGACTCGTGCTCTGAACGGTGTGGGTTGGACTGGAAGAGGTTTTGGTGCTGAAGTGTCAGCTGAACAGAGACCCTAAGTGAATGAGGAATGTGCCCTGTGAACATTTTGGGGAACAGCATGCTTGGCAGTGATAGCAGCCAGGGCAAAGGCCCTGAGATAGAGCTTTTAGAGCATTTGAGTGAGGCAACCAGTGAGGGGGGAAGCAGAATGCATGAGGATCATACTAGGAAGAAATCAGGTCAAAGCAAGGTGTCAAGGGTTCAGAGTGTACAGAATGGTACAGACCATGGGAGGGATTTTAGTTTTAACTCTGAATGAGCTCAGAAGTCATCAGAGGATTCTGAGTGGAGTGGTGGCATAAACTGACTTATGTTCCCAAAGAACCACACTGACTTCTGCACTGGGAGACTACAGGGCGATTGCTATACTAATCCAGGAGACCTGGGTGGAGGTAGTACGTGAGATGGGGAATGATCAGAATCGCAGGATACTGGGGAAAGTGAGTCAGTGGAATTTGCTGATAAATGGGCAGTCAGCGGTGACTCTGGGGTTTTGTTTTATTGATTTTGTTTTTGCCTGCATAACACGAGAATGGAATTGTCATTGAGAAGAAGAGACCAGGGATTTGGCTTGAGACATGCTTGTGATGACTGCTAGATATCTAGGGGAGAATGTCAAATAGTTTGGTAGTCACGAATCAGTAACTTATCTGAATTCAAATCTTGAATTCCAGCTCCTTGGGGTCTTAGAAGATACCAGAATCCCAGGCCTTTTGCCTATATTTGCTACCCACAACACCAACCAACCATCAACTGAAGAATTTTTTTTCTCAACTCATAATAATACCAGCTTATTTTAGTGCCACATTCACTACTCCCAGTCACCTCCTCTCGTTTCTCAAACATGTGTCTCACCAGGTGGAAGGAAGGTCAGGGTGTGAGTCCCTTGCTGTGTGATCACGAAATGTCGAGGTGGGGAAGATGCTGAGGGAGTATAAAGATGACAGAGCACACCCGAGAAAAATGCTTAGTGGAGACCACGGTTGTTGCACTTACCCAATATTTTGTCCCTCTGCCTGCTTTTGCAGCATGTCGCGATTGGAGGAGTATCCTTTTGATGCCGAATACTGAAACTGAATCACGTGATTAGACGACCAGAAAGACTGTCTTCTCACTACTGAACTCACTCCCTGTGAGGCCTGTTTTGCCAAGCTTTTCTGAACCCATGTTGTTTCTGAGCTCACTGCAGGCAAACTTTAGGCCATGCCTAACTGGTAGAGCCTGTGTTCAATCAGGAGCAGACATCCTTGCAAAGCGTGACGCATGACAATTTTTTTTCACTTATTTGATCTATCTAGATGTTTGTTAAATGCCAGAAACTCTGTTAACATTGAGGGTGCAATGATTAAAAAAATAAATAGTAACCACAAGCGCTGACTGTAGTATGCACCAACATAGTTTGAAGTTCTTTTCCTGTGGAAGAACTCATTGAATCCAACACTCGCCAGTCGCATTTTACAGAAGAAGGAATGGAAGCCTAGGGAGGCCAGGGAACTTGCTCAAGGCCACCAAAGGAGTGCTCACCAACATTTCAAACATGGGTGGCTCAGAGAAGCCAAGCTAGCTCATCCTCTTTCTTAGCCTGGCCCCTCTCCTGGCTTTCGTGCTCTCTCACATTGGCTTTAATAAGCCATCATACCAAAGAGTCAGTGCTGGCAGTGCTCAAGCCTGTGAAACCCACAAAATTGCCACTGGTCACTATCAGAGAGACACCCTTATAAGGTGGGCTGGAAAATGGGTGGGGAGACCAAACAGCAAAAATGCTTTCCAGTGCCATTTCATTTTCTTCTGTAGTATTTCCTTTTATGAATATCCCAATTAAATAGAAATGCACAAAGAAAACCAATGAGGATCTGGCCCCTCACTATACAAATTAAATGCTCAAATTCTACCCAGTTCATTTAGTTTTCAAAGTCATTGCCTCCACCAAGAATTTCAAGAGCTTTTCCTTCCCTAGGGAACCACTGACAGCCTTGACATTAACTGCTTTCTTGGCTGATTCAGCTGCAAGTCCTCCCCGTCCTCCTGCCCAAGGTCCTAGCAGCCAGCACCAGGCATATATACCTGCCATGGAGACAGGACAGCCTGCGCCTGTCTCAGACATCAGAGTAAGAGTGGTTAAGAAAAAGTACCCCTGTCCGTGTGTGAACTCAGGCCCCTGTCTCCATTTCCTCTTCACTGATAAAAGACCCGAGAGTCAAAGGAAGATAGCAGTGTTCTGTGTCAACAACTGCCATGTGCATTTGGAGCAGTAATATCATACGCCAGGATTACAGGGCCATCTTAAAATTCTATCATGCCTTCTTCATGAAGATGGCAAATAATGTTACTAGATAGAATGCAGAAGGAAAAACTGAGCTGCAGATCTGTATTATCTCTGCCAAGGATGCGTAACTTGAATCTAAATACTGAGAAACAGACAAGTCCACAAGGGGAGTGGACTTATTCAACCAAGTTAGTGATATGTAATTTTGAAAATAGTCAAACTCAAGAAAGTCAGAGGACTGTGGAAGAGTAAAGACATATGATAAACAGCACAGTTGTGTGAGTCTAAGCTGAGTCTTTGGCTATAAAAGACATTATTGGTAAAATGAATGGAGTCTGAAATTAAGTGATAATATATTAAGATTAATTTCCTTATTTCAGTAGTTGCAATGTAATAATAATGTTCTAAGTCTTTTGAAGAATTACATATTAAAGTATTCAAAATTAATGTCATCACACCAGCAATTACTCTCAAACTACTCAACAAAAAATGATCTTTGTACTATGCCTGCATTTTTTGAAATTATCATCAGAAAAAGTATTAGAAAATAAGAAATAAATTAGATTTCTGGTAGAATTGAAATAATTATGGCAATAATCACACATATTCTTTTAAAGAATCTGTTGTTTTATTTTGAATATTTAAATATAAAAATCATCCTCTTTTATGATATCAGTTAATAAAAATGAGAGGAAGCTAACTAGAACAAAATGACTGAGAGGGTGAACTAGAAATCTGGTCTGAGTAGTTTTCAATTAATGTATCAAAATGTCAAAGCTAACAGAGACAGCACAACAGAGGATTTGTATTAACAAGGTAACTACTGTTTTAAAAAATATACTGAGAGATTGGAAGTGTAGCTCAGTGGTGAACATATGCTTAGCATGTATGAGATATGTGAGGCCCTGGGAGATATATATATATATATATATATATATATATATATATTTGTTGTTGTTGCTATTGTTTTTAAATAGACCATAGAAATAGCAAGAGCATCTCAAATTTCCAGGACCCTCTCTGTGATTAAAGAAAGACAATGCCTACCACTATGTAACACTTTTAAAGAAGGCTTTAAAATACACACTTTTTCCCACAAAACCTGTAAACCCAAGACCCACTTAAACCTGTAAGGTCTTGGAGTAGGCTAGTTATCCACAAGTCCCAGCTCATTGTTTTTCTTAAAATCCTCTTTTCTTTGTGTTGTGTAGAGAAAGGGTAACATATACATCACGTAACAACAGTTTCATTAAAAGTACAGAAGACAAATTAGTTAGAACCCATAACTCATCCTAAAGTAGTGATAATTCCATTTCCATTGAAATAAATTCCCGCTCCTCTGCTTGTCTCCCAGATTAAGCAGCCCCAGAAAGAGACTTCTTTGTACTACATGCTCTGTTTCATGGCAACAATTTAGAGCTATCCCCAAAAGCCCTGGACCTGTAGAGTCCATTTCCTTAATTTTTCCTGAGCTTTCAAAAAAAGAAGTGATTTCAGGAAAATAAAATCATTCCATTCCTGTCTTCTCCAGTTCCAACAGGAAGGGTGCAGTTTCTGTCTCTCAGCATTGCTTGGATTTATTTATCAGTAAACAGTTAATATTCTTCAGTAGAAAATCCTGCTGTGATTTTCATTTTCTAAAATTTGGTAACTTAATTCCCTCTTACTAGTGAGCTGGAAGCCAAACTCTCAGACAAGGATTTAAGAACTTGCTTCATCATAATTGTTAGCCGTATAGCATCATTCATTATGAATCCACCAGTTAAAAAGTTGTACTTTCATAGCTGCAGCTCAATAAACTCCGACATGCCAATAGTTTCGTTTCACCTTGATGGAAGCCTGCTTCTGTGCCTGGGCTGTGCTGAGGCTGGCAGCCAAGGTAGTGTTACCTTTAAGGTTAACACAGTGCCGTGGCCACTGACTGGCCACAGTAGAGAGCAGGTGGCTGGTTCAGAACCTCAAACTCTGCCAGCCAGTCCAAAGCCCTGGACTCATTAGGATGATGGAACTTAGCCACACTTGGTTCCTCTATCTTTTCAGCCTCACTGTCTGGCCAGAATCAGATGTCTCTAGTGACCAGGAATTCAGTTCCCAACAAAAGCTTAGGAACTCATGTGTCTTCCTGTATTTTCTACCTGTAAATCTTCTTTCTGTATGCCATGACAACATAGAACATGTCTTATGCTCTTCCTCTGTATACCATGACAACATAGAACATGTCTACAACTCTCCAAATATTTAATATAGTTGTTAGATTCCATGTTATACTACATTGTTTTCAATGAATATCTCCAGTTAAGGAAGCAGTTGAAATTCAACTAGTTAAGTTCAGTTTTATTAATTTAAATTGTGAGTAAACTACCAATAAGCTAGTGGTTTTAAGTGTTATATATACTATTAAGACAGAGACTTGAACTAAATCCCACAGGATGTCAGCATATTGGTAGTTTTGTTCTGAGACCATGGTCTGATGGAGACCACTATGAAGTGGCTCTGGGTGGGATTTAAAATTTAAAAATTGGCTTTCTATTTTTACCTGTGAGTCTGTCACAGATCTAAGCTCCTTATCTGGAGACGGGCAGTGGATTCATAGTAAGTGAACTTCTATGAATCACTGGCCTAGTCTGAGACCTATAGTGGCCTGCTATGACAGTGACACCTCAAAGGACAAGATAAGGCCACAGATGAGGACACCTGACTCCAACCCCAATTAACTAGCTAGAGACTGCAGCTGAAGGCGTCTCACTCCTGCTTCCTACCATAAATGTCAACCTGGAGATAAGCTAGTTCTCTTAAATTAACATGATTTTCTACTTGGAGAACTCTTTGAACTCACTCTCAGATCCTGCTCAGTGCCCATGCTTTCCTCAGTATCCCCACTCTTTGTCTGACAACCAAATAAACATGGGCCTCCCAGAGCAGTTTTTGCCTAAGCCCCCAGAATCCTGAATTCTGCTAGAGGTTTTTGATGCTCCTGGAGCCCTGAAATCATAGCACTTGGCTCATTTGTTTAAGCCTTCACCATCCATTCGTTTAGGAGGTTGAAGGTCTGATCAGTCTGTGATAATGGTCCGGTGTATAATTTTGTAAATTTAAAAGCTCACTTTTAAAATTTAACTCTGGTAGTCTCAGGAATGACCTTGGGGATGATCCATTATAATTTCACTCAAGAAATACTGATATAAAAGACAGAATTGTAATTTGCTGTGTTTCAAGAGCATTTACCATCTTTCCGAAGGTAGACAGAACATTGTGGAAAACAAACTGAATGTAAGAATGGAGCATATAATAATAAAAAAATTAAATCTTAGTCACATTGTGTTTAGTGAATCATAACACCTGAGTACTAAGGGATGTGGCTGCTGGCCAGTGAATAGGTTTGCTCTTAGCAGCACAAGAGGGAGAGTCTAATAAATTCTGGACAAATGTTGCTTCTTTTTCAAAACTGATCATCTCATTTCCAGATTTGGCAGGATGTGTAGTGGCCACAAATCTTAGTTGGAAAGACAGTAAGTATTTATTAAATGAATGACAGAATAAATGAATCACAAGTTGGGATGGGATATGCCAGTTGAAATTTGAAGGACTACAAGGAACGGTATATTCTGTTAACTTATTACTTATTGAATATTTTGAAAGCTTTTTTGTTTTTGTGGGGATTGAACTCATGACCTTGCACTTGCCACGCAGGCACTTATGCTACTTAACTAAATTCCTGATCCTTGAAAACATTTTTTTTTCCCAGATAACATTTATAAACACTGCCACTCTACACTTCTTAGGAATTTAAGAAATGTTCCAATCATTAACATTTTTTTCCTGCTAGATTTTTTATTTTTTCCCCTTAGTTTAAAAAAGAAATTTAAAAAATTAAATAATTTTTTAATGAATAAGGGAGAGGTTGAGATAAAAGGGGGCATAACAACATAACAATACAGGTTAAAGCATGACACTTTCAGCAACCTAGTGCTTCACCACCAAATAACCCGACTTAATAGTAGTTACCATAGTGTCTTTTTCCTTGAAATATTTGAATATAACTTCATATGCTATAGCATCAAACATATCAAGACTGTGTAACACCATTCAAGTGGATGAAAGCAT